TCTAATTCTTTTTATTTCACTATCAAAATAATTAATATAGAATATGGTGTTGGGTTTTTTACATTTATTTAAGAGAAATTCTTATTCCAAAATAAAAAAGATAAGTTACTGTAAATGAAAAACAAAATTCCTTTGTCTACAGTTATATTTCACCATGAAACTTCCTTATAATAATTTATAATATACATGTATGTAGATTTATATATATTTAAATCAGATAGTTCCTGGTATTAAAATAGTAATGTGTTATCATTAATGTTACATTCACACATGTCCTTAAACACTGAGAAAAGGGTGTCATATAAACCATGTATTTATTTCCTCCTAAAGATATCCAACCAGGCTTATTTTATGCTCAAGGAACAGTAACTGTTTCATGTAAAAAAAAAAGTGCAAAAAACCCAAACAATAGCACTTGAAGGCTCAAAAAAAATCCCCTACTCCCTCTCCCCCCAATCCAAAAACAGAATAACAATCAAATTAGTATATAACTATATATGTTTTATATAACTATTATGCATTATAAAACATACAATTTGTATATTATAATATACATGTATAAAATAACCTTGCAACACTTGAAAACTTATCCTGTAGTGAAGTAGTACCATTAAAATATATACACTTTCAAGGATAAAGCATAATTATGTACATATAATGTACATTTCCTTGTGAATTATTTAGCGCCTTTCTTCCGCCACTTACATATTTTCTTTAAAGCATTTTTTTTATATCTTGTTCCCTTTCTCACTGATAAATTAACTAATGTATAATTTCTTTCCATGCATAAAAATAGATTTTCAAAAAATGAATTGAACAGCCTTACATGCATGACATAAATGTAAGATTGTTAACAATTGCGCCATTTTGACAATCTAGCCCTGATATGTTAAAGGCCAGACATGGGAGGGGCTTAAATTACCGTAGCTACTCTTGTAAAAGGATTTTAACAAAAAACAAACATAACAACTATGGCTGGCAAGTTTAAGTGAATTTTCCCTTAGTTATCAGACAATTTAGATAAGCCTGTGGCCAATATTTTAAGAAAAATAAATTTTGGATGTTTCTCACTTAATTTTTTAAGGTTGAATATAAAAAAAAACAAAAAAAACTTAAGTTGGTTTAAACACTTGAAAATGGTGGAAGAATTTGAAAATCTGGAGAAAAGCAATGTATGGGCAAAATACCACATTTAACTTTAAAATTATGGCATTTAATTTTTAACTTTTAAATCATGAAGATGATTTAAAATAATCTAATATGATTTTAAAAAATAATATCTGTAACCTATGAGAAGAACTTTATGTTTCTGAAACATTTATTCTAAAATAGATTATTTAAAATATCTATTGTCTTAAACTTTGATATTTATTCTGAAAACAGACTATTAAAAATATATATTGTTTTAAATTTAAATTTTAATATTGAAAACTACACTTCTAGAGGTTTTTAAAAACAATACTTGAGAAAATTCTTCTTAAATATAAATTACCTGAATCTCTACACAATAATAGATCTAAATTTTTAAAAAATATATGTATTTTTCACAATTATAAAACTTTACTCAGCTATCTAAATCATTTATTATCAATTTTAAATAATCAAAAATATGCAAAGTTTTTTTCAAGAAGAAATTTTTGAAGAAAATGGTGAAACAACTTGAAAAAAGATGGAAGAATCATTTAAGTTCAATTTTTTCCAATAAAAAAAAAATCTGAAAACATGAATTTTCAATAAATAACAGTAAAAACATTCAAATAAACAACAAACAGATACAAACATACATATAAATATGAAGAAAAAATATTTTCAAGTTTTTAAAATTTTATTCCTACAAGAAACTAGGCATACAAAGCATTTCTGATAATTAATTTATGAAACATGTAAAAAAAAAATGCTGCATGTCAAATAATGACTTCTGACACCAAAATTTCTGACACTAATTCTAACTAACATGATGGCAATACTGGGGAAACAGTTGTCTGTGTTTCTTATAACATTATCCTTTATTTTCAGACTTAAAAAACAGTCTATATGTTTCCCCACTTAGTACTCTTCATGAAAACTACCTGGAGCCAGACAAAAATGTTAATAACAGTTATACAGGTAACAGAATAAAACCGTCCTTTCCTTAGTGCCATCTTCAAAATATATGTTTGTAGTATTTTAATAGCATTTCTATTAGTAGTAAGATGTTACAATGTAACTTGAGTTTTAATTTTATATGCATTTCTTTTTTATATTTGCCATAATTTTTACACAATATTGATAGTCTGGTTTCAGAGAAAGATTTGTGTGAAAATATTTCCCTTCTTCTGCAAACATTTTAGTCATAAATAAAAAAGATGTGATATGAAATTTTTAAAAATATATATAAATTTCTTTTTAAGGAAAAAATATATTTGATTTAATATCTTCATAGATAACCATAATTATAGCAATATTTTCCAGCAGAAAATATAAAACTTACTTCACTTCTTAAAATGTAATTCCAATAGCAGCTTTCCTATGTGGCGTTTGAAATGAACTGACCACTTGAAAGCGCGGCGCGCACCAGCATTCTGGTCCCTGCATCAGGAACATTTGAGCGCGCATGCGCGTTGAAATTCTATTTTACAGAATAGCGCAATGCGCAGTTTTCTTCCTAAGCGCGCAAACTGCTAAAATTGGGGCAACCGCGAATCTCCCATCTGGAAGTTCTGAGCGCAGGACTGAGAATAATAGGTATTGATATTCCTGAAAATTCTAACTCAAAGGAATCTTCAGTCAAAAATTCACGAATAATTCTTTATAAAATCAAAGAAAAAAAGAAAAATATTCAAACCATTTTAAAATGACTGTAATGAATACCTTTATACTATAATATCAAAATTTGTAAATAAATATTGTTCAGAAATTTCCAATCGACATCTATATATTTTGTCATTACTTTTCTCGGAAAATGTAATTGTTAAAGAAATATTGCTGAAAAAATATTAAAATAATTTTCAAAGCATACCTTTTCTTCCAAAATTCCTTAAAATACTCATGACTTGTAAACTGAAGAACGTGTCTTAAAGAAACACAGCGCGGACTGCGTATAAGCCTTCTTGACGATTCTGGTCAAGGCGCGAATTAAAGCGCATGCGCGCATTTCAACTAATTAAATTGTACAAAATTATGTTAAAGTAAATTTCCAGGAGCAGTTTATTTTATTCCAACAATAAAACATTTTGTAGCAGCTATAGTCTGTTAATATATTCTAATTTCAAACAAGTAAGCCTTAGAATCTACATTGTCACTTGGTTTAATTCGCGCGACGCGCCATCATCATCTATTAGCATGCGGACGCATGCGCGCCATGTCTGGAATTTTGGCGTTGAAAGTGGAGACCCCATATTCTACCCAATTTCATACATTATATGCATTTTTTTTATTTCAATTAATTTGAGCATCATATCTACTTCATTCCAAACTTTTTATTTATCTAAATTAACAATTTCTAACAACTGACAAAATTGACAAGTCCAAATAGTTGGTAACATACACAAGCAGCTAGACAAGACCTTCGGCAAGCTCTCGTGCAACAAATTTACTGCATTAAAATAATTTAAATAAAATTAAATTTAAAAGAAATATGCGCTTCAATGCTAAAAGTAAAATAACAAGAAGTTAAGAAAATTATTAGAATATTTTAATGAAAAAAAAAAAGATCAGTTTTTATTTAATTTCAAATATAGATGTAAGCAAGGTTTAAAGATTTGTCTTACCTTACACTAAAGAGTATCCATTTCTATAGCTTTAAATATTTAAATTCACAATTTTTTGATCTAGGAAAGCACATGTTGTCTGGAAAGTCAACTAGATTTTGTGCGCCGCGCGCATGCCCCGCGCTTCTTGCATAGTAATGTGGTCAACCCGCACAAGTAATACGTATATATTATATACTGAACAAAAATTACTAATCACACATCCGCGATACAACGATGTAAAGAAAATAAGAAAATAATAAAAACAGTAAACTCTTAATAGACATGACTTCTCTGTTAATGAACTTGGCGCGTGCAAAATGTAAATGCGCCCAACGCGGATCGTCCATTTTGTGCAAAACATCCTCGAGACAGGTGTTCTTGGCATTGCAATCAAGAAATTTCTTGCCATTTAAATTCCATATCAAAGCATTTAGTTATTAAATTAACTATTTATATAATTTGCAAAGAACTACTGATAGTTATCTTTTTCTTATTCAAATTCATTATAAAAGTATCTATTACACAACTAGTATCTATTCTTTTAGGCTCTAGATATAATGTAAACGCGTACGTGCGCATGCGCGTTCTTGAATTTTAACATGTGCGCCCCACTCAACGAATGCGCATTCGCGCCTATGTCTGGTTCTAGTTTTTTTATTCTTAGCAAGTGTCCTATATAAAACGTATGATAAACCAGACTAAAATATTCAAAATAAATGTGCGCATGCGCATACGTCGTTATCATTAACATCCAGACGGATACATTTCCGCTGCACAATACAGCATAGACAATTTTTTTCAAACCGTTTCATGTAGATTATGCATAATCTAACAATAAACTGCATCAGTGCAATAAACACATGCAGTAGCAAGTGCAACCTTTCTATTCTGGGTCAAAGATTCGCAGTCAAAACATAAATCGTCATTACCCATGCGTATGATTAAGTTTAACTTATCATTTTATATAAAATCTTACATAAATTTAAACACATCAGGTGTGGAAATCTAAAATAAGTGGAAATAAAATAAAATATTGTCAGCATTTACCTAAAGAAATACTGTAACTGTACATAGTTATAATGTATTATATATACAACATGGAACACTATACAATTCTTTTGTTTCGTACGTGGTAAACCAATATATTATCAATAAGTTTATTGGAAATAATAAATTTACAACAGATACATGAACAACATTTAGAATACTTAAGAGGGAAAAACAGTTAAAACAGTTATTATCTATTAAAATTAACAAGTTTATGCTCACCTTTTCAAGTTTCGTGTACATCACGCCATCGTTAAACCTTGATAACATATCCAAGATGGCGCACATCTTAAGACGCTATCACAATTTTTTTTTTTTTTAAATCACAAGATCAAGCACTGCACTTGGTTTTGTTTAAATCCACAAAATCGTATAAAAAAACTGCTTTCCTAATAGCTCCAAAATTTACAATTACCAAAATTTTTCTTACCATATTGAATGAAATAAGGAGCACCGAACTGGCAAACGACAATCTTTTTGTTTTCACACAATTCTACATCACATTATTTATTTATTCAAATATTATATTAATATCCACATGCACAATCTATAATCTTACAATATAAATTCAAATCCGCATTTAAACTTGGTAAACTTTATAAATCCAGAAGTATCATAAATTTTGAATAAATCAAGTTAAGAGTTACACATGTGCACGTATAATAATCCAGACATTTCGTATTCAGAATATTTTTTAAACCAAATTCAAAAGCATATCAAGGTATCATGTATAACACGGCATGGTTTAAACATGCAGTAGCTATAGCAGGTCAGACAGATTGTGCCCCTTGTTACACCCTTTCCCACTGCTTTTTTAAACAAAGTATGCACATCCGCGCAAAAAAATAGTTCCCAATAAATAAACCGTATCTAATAAAAATCTCTGCACTTAGACTGACAAAAGATATGCTAAGTTAACGACATGCAACATTTATGTAATCACGATCAAATACCAAGACTACTATGCAGGATATTTTATTTTGTCAAAAACAAAAAAGTCACTGTATATAATACAGCACTGTCAGTGTAATACGCACCTATCTCGAGACATCTAAAACTAGACACGCATAATCACTCCATGATATTTCACTAGACATCCCCAGCGCAACCTCATATCCTTTAAAACCACGTTTTGGCGGTTACCATCGATTGCGCATATGTCTGACATAGACAAACTTACGCGCTTATGCGCGCATGCGCGGCGCATCTACATTCATATGCACTTTTTACAATTTTCTTATTCATTAATTTATTCTTAAATTTCATGAAAACTTACAAACATAACTCGTTACAATACAAAAACTTAAGGTTTATTCATTAATTGCGCCCCCTTCTCGACCTTGATCACGCGCGCAAACATGGCCGACAAATCACATACATCTAACTTTCAACTATTAACAAATGCATACACCAAACAGTATACATCTGCATTAAATTTCAATGAAATTGTATGCCTCAGGAGGCAAATTGCATAAACTTTGTTACAGTCTAGCAATCAAGATGCCGTGACGATTTAAACTGCATTCCTAGACAAAACATTTTACTACATGTGCTTACAACTGTACCGGAATCCGCCATTTTCCTTACGTACATGCACCTCGAGAGCCCGCCTTTTTATATCTGCTAAATCGCGCATATAATGAATGTTATACAACAGCAACATACAATCTACTTTTTTTTTTCCCTACACTAAATTATTAAATGTTTTAAACTAATGGTTTCATATCCCACAAAATATATCAACTGAAAATTATCTATTTAAACTACTGAATGTTTAATGTCGGCAAGACTACATAAGTTACAATCCGTTTTCCTTCATTTCCTATATAAGATTGCATGACATAGAAATTAGCATAAAATTTATCAAAGAAACCTGGGTATGCACCAAGTGATGGGAAACAGAAGCTTGAAAATGGACCTAAACCTGTACTTATGCTCCAAACGGATTTAAACAGAGATGGTAGCAGTTTGTGTATGCCATAGCTCACAATGACACAAAATATGGTGAGCGTTGGCCATGTGCTAGTGTTAAGTCTAGACATTTCCCTCTATTGCTCCTCATATACGCTTATCCAATGATTACACAAGTGTTGTATCAAAAAAAATGTCGGGTAAAAAATGTAGCTAAAGCAGTTCAGACCAAGCATTTACACTATGCATATACTTCGTAACAAATCCGTTAAACAATTTAGTGTGCAGTGTATGAAATATAACAAGCATAGCAGAAAATACCTTTGTTCACTGTGAATATATAATCTTAAACCTACTGTTCAAGAGGAAAAGGGCTTTTTCCTTTCATCACTTTACACCAAAAATTTACTTTTCTGACAACGATTTAACTTTCACTACCCAGATGATTTAACAAACACATTCGAAAGAAACGTAACTTACCATAAGAATAGTAAATTCCTTCCTATTGAGGCTGCATTTTGACCTTCGCACAGCTAAATCCGTCACAGAAAACCTTAATACATTCTAAATCTCTCCTACATTCTCGAAGAAAAACCCCTTTTACTACGCACTTTTAACAGAATACACCTCGACCTAACCCTAGTCTTGCAAAGACTGGACTTTTTCGAGTGCGCTCGCCCATCCATCCAAATTTTTTTGCATACATACGAAAGCCACTGATAGTTTTACTCGGTCTGATCAGAACTACTACCCTTCAACACATGCTAAATCCAACATGGCCGCCAAGTCTCTGTGATAAAAAGCTAACACGTGACCAAATAGGCGGACTAGTATAATAATATGTAATAGATACAACTACTTGACTAGTTACTTTAACATTTTTTTATATTTCTTTACAATTTAAAAGTCATACAAGCAGAGTAAATATCGGGGAAATTGATCGGTGTAACAGAAAGTTGCATCTTTTAATCAATATTATACATCACTACATGCTACACGGCAATCTGCTGTTGAATAATTTGTTGAGATCTTTTTCTAGTATTTTTTCATTCTCAACATTTCTGCAACTCTGTTAGGTTTGGAATTCCGAGTTCATTCAATTCTTTCATATCTGATTTAAACTCTCCATTTTTTTGCTGATTTTTTTCGCGTTATTTAAGAATAAATTCATTGAAAATTATCTTTCTATTAATATAATTCTATTTTTAGAAAAGTTTCATTTCCAATAAATATTCATGATAATTTTTTCCAATACCTGTTCTAATTATACAACAACTTAGAACAAAACAAATCAGTTTGATCAACTATATTTTAAACTTCCAATACTATTTTCCATTAAATCTCTCTAAATATTACTTCATTTGAAATCCTTACTTAAGATTTTGTACTAATAAGCCATTTTAGAATCATGTGTCACAGAAACAATGGTTTTAAAAATTTTCTTCACCAATGACCAGGTGCTGAGTTATAATCATTATCAAAAATAAACTTTTCTTATTCAAAACAAAGAGATGCAAATCAAATTTTCCCAGTATAAAACACTATTTCAAACACCTTTTTAACTCATCCTTAAATTTCCCTTAATCCTCAGACTCTTCACAATCAATATAATATCCAAAACTAACTTTTCAATTTTCTCTTTTCAACTTCATCAAAGTAGCTTAATAAACGCTATACATGTAAACGCCTTTTTTCCATTTGACCTGACCTGATTTCAACCTTAATCTTCACAACAAAAAAAAAAATAAAGCAGTGTATGACGGGAACCAGCAGTGCAGCTATTACACAATATGCTCAATATAAAGCTGGGCTAAAGTCACTTTTTTTTCCTGCTACAGAGGGTTTAATATTGATAATTTGTATCCGTTAAAAACTGTTTCACAGCAAATCTTCAGTTTTCTATAGTGAGATGTCAGTGGCATCTTTAATTTAGGAAAAAAATCTGTCACAATAAAACCAGCCTTGTGTCTCATATTGAACTGAAGATCAAGATATTTTTCAGTCCAACAAAAGTGAAGCATTATTATTGATAGCTTTATGTGACCGAAGACAATTTGTTTAATTCCCCTTTAACAAAGAAAATGACTAACCTTTGTTTAATAGTTTAAAAAGTTGTAAATTATTTTGTAATAAATCTAACAAGTCTTGTTAAATCTTTCAATTCAAGTATTTATTATCAAATTGTTAAGTTTAAATTTTTTTATTAAAGATGGCATATAAACTACCTGCCAGCTAATAGGAATTCAAACAAAAACATTCAAAAACAAACTACAATTTAGACCATTCTCAATCAAATACATCTTGAGATGTTATCTAATAAAATACAAATTTGCATTGGATTCTTCCCATCTTCAATATATGTTATTGAATTTTTAAACATTATTATTACCAAATCAATGGAATAAAAAGTAATATTAAGAAACTTGACAAAAAATAATACCCCAAATTTTACAAATGTTGCATTTCTAATGAAGAAATGTAGAAGTTAAATGACAATTTACCATCATCTTCAAACCAATCCACAATGTCCGACCAAAAATCTAAATTAAATGCTGAATGGTCAATTGAAATCATCTGTTATCTTATTGGCTATTTAATTCATGCTTGTGTGCCTTCCATGTCACTGACCTATCACTGACCTCTACACACTGAATGGTCATTTAGAATAATAGCCTATTGCCCACTTACTTCACACCTCGGTGCCCACAGAAAGTAGCCACCTCACAAGTTATCTTTGGTTGTAAATGACAGGTTATTAATCAACCTTGTTCAATTCTGAATGGTCAGTTTAAATCATCAGTTATTTTCTAACACATTGCTGTTTGATGCTGCTATTTGATCAGTGACCCACGAAGATCTCTGTGGTTTTATGAGCTTACTGCTGACTGGTCAGCTGAAATTAACTTTTATCTGATTGGCTTTCTATTTCACACATGGGTTATTTCTGATAAGTGACCTATTATTACCATTTTCCGCTGCATGTGGTCATCTCGATTTTGACTGGTCAGTTGAATGTGACATTTATCCGATTGGCCAGTTGTCCATGCTTTGGTTGTTTCATCTTGTGGCTATTTGATAAATGACCTATGGGAGACCCCTTTTTCCCAGCATGTGGTTAAGACATCAAAACTGCTGAGTGGTCAGTTGAAATTGCCTTTTATCTGATTGGCTAACTTTCTCACTCAGGGTGTGGTTTGATCAGGAGGTTATCTGGACAGTGACCTATAGATGACCTTTCCCACTTAAGAATGATTGGATAGAAACTGCACATGTGTATTCACCCTATCCAATCAAGAGCAGTTGGTCAGGTCATTGACTTGTGGGGATTTCTTAGCTGTCAAAACATTATTTACCTGTATGACTCCAGGCACATTCACAGTTTATTCAGTAACATTTAGTAGCATACTGGATTGTGTTTTACCATGTAGACTAGGGCCTTTATTGACAGAAATGATTTTGCATAACTTTATTATGATCCCATACAAATTAACTTACCATCTTCACTTAAACATCTGGACAGTCCAGTTCACAACAGGGTCCCCAGAACTGACCAAAATAGGATAATCACTCATAATCCAACTGAACTAGATTTCAGATTTGAATTTCACAACTAGCCTAGTCTTTTAACCAACGCTAAATGAACATAATTTCCATAAAATTCAAGTAACAAATAAGGGTAATAATAAGAGGTTCTTGGAAAATTATTAAATTTATATATAGAAACATTTCAGTGAAAAACCCCAGTATCACAAACATCTTAACTGGAAACACTTGTGCGCTGATGTATTTTCATATTAAGACCAATGCATTTTAAAAGGAACAGTCAATTTAATGTAAGAGTTTCTTATTTTAAAAAGAACAGTAAATTTAATATGTTTCATGTACACTGCTTTAATGCACATGTCTTCAATTGGTGTATTTTTTCCATGTCACACTTTTATGCTAATAATTGAATTCATTTGTTTTCAAGTCATGAAACATTTCCTTGACTAGATAACCTTATTTAAAATCATCTAACCTCTGAAACTAAGACACCTTTCTCTTTAATATTAAGGAATATTTCCAGCAGAACATTCTCTTTAATATTCAAAGAATATTTCCAAGAGCCTTTATCAATATCCCAAATGCCTTTAATATTCAAGGAATGTTTTAAACAGACCTTTCTCTTTAATATCAAAGAAATGCATTAAACAAACCTTTCTACTTAATATTCAAGGAATGCATTAAACAGACCTTTCTACTTAATATTCAAGGAATGTATTTAACCAACCTTTCTCCTTAATATTCAAGGACTGTATTAGACAGACCTTTTTCTTTAATATTTAAGGAAAGTAGACATTTCTCTTTAATATTCAAGGAATGTATTAAGCAGACCTTTAATATTCAAGGAATTTATTAAGCAGACCTTTCTACTTAATATTCCAGGAATGTTTAAAATGTTTTAAACAACTTTCTCCTTAATTGTCAAGGACTGTATAAATCAGACATTTCTACTTAATTGATCCATCAGGCAAAGCATTCTCTTTATTCAAGGAACATATATTATTTGATCGACCTTTCTTTTTATAAAAACATTTCCAACAGTTAAAGCTCCAAGTAACATATTCTGGCATACATTCTATTACATTTCCATAGAAGTCACACATGTGCAGAAAATTTTAATAAGACTTTTTTTAAAGTAAGGAATATTTTTTATATACTTTCATTTTAATTCAATTGCAATAAGAACACCACTAAAACAACCAAATTCCAGTCAACACATAAAATTATTAATTCAATCATATAATATATAGATGCTTTTTCAAAGAACATTTACTTTTTTTAATCACAAATCCAGTGACAATTACCAGCTCTTCTTTATGCAGAGTGTCACTTAAATACAGAAATAAATTTGTCTAAGTAAGCAAATTTTTTTAATGTGTATTTGCTTATCAATATTTGCCAAAGTCTGATCAAGATCTAGAGCAAGTTTATTTAAAACGTTATCCCATACATTTTAGTATGGTATTGTTCAATGTACAAGAATGTGGGTTTAACAAAACCACCAGACTGTAAATTCACACTGGATACGTTATATAAATGTCTCAACCTTTCGAGGACTATTTTACATCTCTTTACATTCCCACTAGACATAAATCACTTAAAAAAAGAACCTTTAAAAATCTTAAATGGTATGCGTTAGTATAGACAGCATAGTGTATATAGAGGCCAAGGATAGCAAGTCAAGGGGGAAAAAATCATGAATTTATTAATAATTTTTTGCAAACCATTATGAAATGCTCATCTTTAAAACATTGTTTCAAACTCATAACATGTTAAAAATTAGCAACATGTTTAATATTAAGAACATGTTTAAAATTAAACCTTTTGTATGCTGTAAAACAACCAAGTTCGATATACTTTAATGTAATGCCGTTTTAAAACACAATTTTTGAAAATAACAATATTCAATCACCTTAACTGAAAATCACACTGTTAAATCACTTTAACTGTATTGAAAAAGACACCGCTCAATCTCCCCAACTGTTTTGAAAATGACATGATTCAATCACCTTAAGTGTGTTGAAAATGGTTTAACTGTATTGAAAAGGACACTGTTAAATCACCTTAACTGTATTGAAAAGGGCACTGTTAAATCTCCTTAACTGTATTGAAAAGGACACTGTTGAATCTCCTTAATTGTATTTAAAATGACACTGTCCAATTACCTTAAACTGTATTGATAATGACACTGTCCAATTATCTTAACTGTATTGAAAATGACACTGATCAATCACCACAACTGTTTTGAAAATGACATGATTCAATCACCTTAACTGTGTTGAAAATGGTTTAACTGTATTGAAAAGGACACCGTTAAATCTCCTTAAATGTATTGAAATAACACTGTCCAATTACCTTAACTGTATTGAAAAAGACACTGCCCAGTTACCTTAACTGTATTGAAAATGACACTGTCCAATTCCCTTGACTGTATTGAAAATGACACTGTCCAATTATCTTAACTGTATTAAAAATGACACTGTCCAATTATCTTAACTGTATTGAAAATGACACTGTCCAATTAGTGTATTGAAAATGACACTGTCCAATTACCTTAACTGTATTGAAAATGACACTGTCCAATTATCTTAACTGTATTGAAAATGACACTGATCAATCACCTTAACTGCATTGAAAATGACACTGTCCAATTACCTTAACTGTATTAAAAATAACACTGTCCAATTACCTTAACTGTATTGAAAAGACACTGCCCAGTTACCGTAACTGTATTGAAAATGACACTGTCCAATTCCCTTGATTGTATTGAAAATGACACTGTCCAATTATCTTAACTGTATTAAAAATGACACTGTCCAATTATCTTAACTGTATTGAAAATGACACTGTCCAATTAGTGTATTGAAAATGACACTGTCCAATTACCTTTACTGTATTTACTGTACTGTACTAAATTATATAAGCTAGGTATAGGTGGCAAAGTTTTGCGAATTTTAAGAAGTATGTATTCACATGTTAAAACATGTGTAAAGGCTTGTAACTCTTACTCAGACTTTTTTGCATGCGCTGTGGGCTTGAAACAAGGGGAGATAATGTCGCCTCTACTATTTTCTCTTTTTATAGAGGACCTAGAACTGTTCTTACAAGATAGTCCTTTGTGTGGTTTAACTCTTGACGATATTACTTTTATTCTTTTATTATTTGCTGACGATATGGTTTTACTTGGTAAAAGTCCTGTGGAATTACAGCATAGTCTTGATTTGCTAAATGAATATTGTGATAAGTGGGGGCTTGAAGTCAACACTGATAAAACAAAAATTGTTGTATTCAGAAAGCGAGGCCCGTTAAATGCAAACGAAAAATGGACATACAAAGGTAGCTTAATAGAAACTGTAAATAACTTTAATTATCTAGGCACTGTTTTTAATTACACGGGCTCTTATACTTTAAATCAGACGACATTAGTAGGTAAAGGATTAAAAGCTTTGAATGTTCTAATACATAAAACAAAACATTATGCCGTTAAACCCTCTGTTATGTGCCAACTGTTTGATGCTTTTGTTGCTGCCACCTTGAATTACGGATGCGAAATATGGGGCTTT